TAATTGAACAAAGAGAGGAAGCTAATGGATGCAGAGATGAAGTGAATTCAGTAGCTCATGAGATGAACCCTACAGATCGACGACCTGAGCGCAAATTGTGGTCAAAGCTGTTTCGACAAAATCGAGTTGCTACTCATGGAATGGCACTGAAATATGTGCCTCCTCAGATTATAGATGAGCAAACTGTGGTACAACTTGAGATGCAAGATGTGAAGGAAGCAGAAGAGAGGTGGAGTGCAGTGATGATTGCTTATATTGTGGGTGAAAATCCAGGATATAATGCTATGGGAAGGTATATTGCTCAACACTGGCTTGATATTGCAGAACCAGATTTGTTTCTTCATGAAGATGGCTATTATGTTATAAAGTTCCAAAGTATATCTGATATGCATAGAATTTTTTATGCTGGTCCTCATACTATACGAAATAGGCCAATAATTCTCAAACCTTGGTCTCCAGATTTTGACATTAGCAAGGAATTCTTAACTGATATTCCCCAATGGGTGATGTTTCCAAAATTGCCAATGAGCTGTTGGGGAAATGAAGCATTAAGTAAAATTGCTAGTGCTGTTAGTAAACCCCTGTTTGCTGATGAGTGTACCACTAAGCAAACATGAATCTCTTATGCAAGGATGCTTATTGAAGTAAATGTGACTAAAATCTTGCCTATTGAGATTATGGTGATGGACCCTATAGGAAGAATGTTTCAACAGAAAATAATATATGAATGGAAGCCAGTGCATTATGACAAATGCCAAGTTATAGGGCATATATGTCATACTCATCAAGGACCTAAAGAACAGAAGGAGATACAACCAACAATAAGAAGAGAGCCAAAGAAATTACCTATGAGTGGAGAACCAAAGGGCCTATTACAAATGATGTAAGGAATGTAGAACAGGCACAAGCAAGACCAGCTGATATAGAGGTGCCTCAGACAAATGGAATGCCAGATAGACCAACAGAGATTGACAAGGAGGGATCCCAGCAATGTTTATCAGAGCAAATGCAGCAAGCAAGACAATATCAGTCAATTGGAGATAAAGGGAACACTATCACAGAGACAGTGGATAAGGGGAAGAACCAAGTCTTGGATTTTAGTCTTGAAAACTTTCCCAATTTAACTCCACAACCTAGTAAAAGCAGCGCAAAAAGAGGAATAGCAAGTACAAGTGGAAGCTCTACCTTACCTCATGACAGATGTGGGGGATCTAAAACTCAATAAATGAAGTGGATTATCTGGAATATTAGGGGTATCAATAAATGGTATAAGAGGAAGGAGTTGAAGAACTATCTGAAAACCAAAAATATTAAACTAGCAGGGATCATTAAAACAAGAGTTAAGGAGAATAAGGCTAGAGAAGTTAGCCAGCACATAGCACCTGGATGGGAGATGATTAATAACTACAATGCTGCAATAAATGGTAGAATATGGGTTCTATGGGATTCTAACTACTATACAGTGAAGCTAATTAAAGCAGAAGCACAGGTTGTTCACTGTACTGTCACAAATGCTGTGAATGATGAAGAATATGCAATCTCTATAGTCTATGGATATAATAAGTTGATCAAAAAAGGCAGTTATGGGATAATCTAAAAGTAATGGATCAAATGACAACCATTCCTTGGATAATTGGGGGAGACTTTAATGCTGTTCTGCAATTGCAAGATAGGAAGCATGTGAATCCAGTTACAAAAGCTGAAACTCAAGACTTCAACAATTGTATTCAAGAATTAAAGCTGAATGAACTGAATTGGGAAGGTCACTATTATACTTAGTCCAACAAGCAGGATGATGGGGACAGAATATGGAGCAGAATAGATAGGGTCTTTGGGAACTATGAATGGATGATGCAATGGGGGGCATATAGCAACTGTGTATGAACTACCATTTATATCTGATCATGCTCCTATGTGTCTGACATTTAATGAGATACAGAGAAGAAGGAAAATTCCTTTTAAATTCTTTAATGTTTGGGCTGAGCATGAGAGATTTATGTCTGAAGTACAACATATCTGGAACCAAAAGTTTCACAGGCAGAAAATGCAGAATATGTGGATGAAACTCAAAGCATTAAGGACAATATTGAAGAAACTTAATGTACAGGAATTCAAGTTTATTAAGAAGAAGATATATCTGGGAAGAATTGAGCTGGAACATGTGTAGAAAATCATAGATGCTGATAGCAATTATGATCTGCTAAGGAAAGAGAAGGAGTTGATGCAGAATTTGGAAAAATGGAGTATGATTTAAGAAGGAGCGTTGAAACAAAAAGCCAGGGCAAAATGGATTCAGTTGGGTGACTCTAATATTAGATATTTCTCTACTGTAATGACAGAAAGGAGCCAAAGAAAACAAATTGTAGAGTTGCAAGCTATTGGTGGCAATAGGATAACTGATGCAGAAAGTATCCAAAGGGAGATAGTTGACTTCTATAGATCACTGATGGGAACTGCTGCCCAAACACTCCCTGCTATAGATAAAATGGTCATGTGTAATGGAGCTAAACTCACTCAACAGCAAAGAATTGAGTTATGCAGAGATGTGACTACAGAGGAAATCTATGAAGGGTTGTACTCTATAGGTGATGATAAAGCACCTGGTGTGGATGACTACAATGCATTTTTCTTCAAGAAAGCTTGGCCTATTGTAAAAGATGAAGTCATGGAAGCTGTTATGGATTTCTTCAAGTCTGGAAAGCTATATAGAGCCATAAACTGTACAGCTATAACTTTGGTGCCCAAGGTGTCTAAGCCTAAAACTGTTAAAGAATTTAGACCTATAGCTTGTTGCACTGTCCTGTATAAACCGATATCCAAGGTCCTAGCAGCTAGATTACAAGGTGTTATTGGTACAGTGATCAATGAAGCTCAAGCAGGATTCATAACTGGGAAGAAGATAACAGATAATATTATATTGGCGCATGAACTGGTGAAGGCCTATACTAGGAAAAACTTATCTCCTAGATGTATGATTAATATAGATCTTCAAAAAGCATATGATTCTGTAGAGTGGCATTACATGAAGCAAGTGATGGAGGAACTAGGATTTCCCCAGTTGTTTCATATCCTGGGTTATGGAGTGTGTCCAGACAGTCAACTACTCAATTGTAGTTAATGGTGAGCCAACAAAACCTTTCAATGCTGCAAAAAGACTGAGACAGGGTGACCCTATGTCACCATACTTATTTGCCATTGCAATGGAGTACCTAAGCAGGAATCTGGCTAGTTTGAAGGAGGAGAAAGAGTTCAGATATCACCCTAGGTGTGCAAAGCTTGGGATCACTCACCTAAGCTTTGCAGATGACCTGCTTCTATTTGCTAGAGGTGATTTGAAGACAGTGAAAGCAATCCAACAGAAGTTCAATCAGTTCACTCAAGTTTCAGGTTTACAAGCAAATCTTAGTAAAAGTGAAGCTTATTTTGGAGGGGTTCCTGTGGCAGAAAGGCAACAAATCCTGCAGATGCTGGGACTTGCAAGTGGTGAACTTCCTTTCAAATATTTAGGAGTTCCCTTATCCAAAAAGAAACTGAGCTTAATGCAATGGAAACCTCTTAGATAAAATGATTAAGAGGACTACTTCTTGGACTGCTAAGACTCTATCATATGCAGGGAGAGTCCAGTTAGTCCAAAGTGTGCTGTTTGGGATTCAGGCTTTTTGGGCACAACTGTTTATCCTGCCAACAAAGGTGATCAAATTGGTAGAGAGGATATGCAGGTCTTATGTCCGGTCTGGGGCAAACGAGATCACAAAGAAGGCTCTGATAGCCTGGGATAGAGTTTGTTTACCTAAGGCAGGAGGTGGACTTAATATAGTAAACCTGAAATTGTGGAACAAGGCAGCTATAGCCAAAACCTGATGGGATCTAGCTCATAAACAAGACAAGTTGTGGATCCGCTGGATTCATACTTACTATATCAAAAATCAACAAATGAGTACAATGTCAATACCTCAACAAGCATGTTGGATGGTAAGAAAAGTAATTGAGGCACATAGTGTATTGGAAGCTGGACAGTTTTTACCAAACCAGAAAAAAAGCATGATCAGACAAATACACCTTCATTTGCTTGGTGACTACAGAAGGATGGAATGGAAGACATTGATGTTTCACAATGCAGCAAGGCCAAAAGCAAAGTTTATAATGTGGTTCATGGTACAGGGAAAATTGATGACATGTGACAGGCTAGCAAACTGGAAGATTAATGTTGATACAGAATGCGCAATGTGCAGGAAAGAAGTGGAAACAAGAGACCATCTGTTTGGGCAGTGTGAATATATTACTCAAGTATGGAGTAAAATGTGTAGCTGGCTTGGTAGGCAATTTCTGGGAGTTAGCAATTCGCAGCAGTTCCTCAAATGGTCAGTTTCTGAAGCTAAAGGCAAAACTCAGCATGCGTAGGTGTTTAGAATGATATATGCAGAAGTAGCTTACCACATATGGATAGAGAGAAATAGACGTATCTTTGAGAAGAAAAACAGAACATGGGAGTAGATTTCAAAAGAAATAGCCTATATAGTTAGTGTTAGAGTCACTCCTAGGAACAAATCTTTTGTGTATAGCCTATGTTTCTAGGTAGTATAGTAAGATGAGTATAGAGAAGAATAGACATGAGAGGCATAGAGAGGACTCAAGGACAAGACACGACTCAGACCCCCGATAAATTTGATCTTCATTGGCCTTGCTGTCCGCAGATCAAGCTGTGTTAGCTATGCTATAGTTTTGTAATTGCTACTTGGTGATTAATAAAATAATTTAGTTACCAAAAAAAAAATTACCTATATGTATTTAAAAATAATTTAATTTTAAAATTTTTACGTTGACATTTAATGAGATTATTTATGATCATATAAATATTTTAATTTTATTTTAAAGCATAAATTTCAATTTTTTAAATTTTTTTCTTAAATATTTCACCGAGTTAAACGTGTCACATAAATTGGAAAGTCATAATGCTCGTTCTTATTTTAACGTGCAGGTGGTTGGTGGTATTCGATGTGTCATATTGATTAAAGGAATAAATGCATTTTCAAATGAAAGATAAGAATAGTGAAACCACAGCGGGCGCCGTCCTCTCTCTTCCCTAGTCTTTCTTCTGTGGTAGATCTCCCAATTCACAACAAAAAAGGTCAGTTTGCTGAACCTCAGATGTTCCCTTAGTCTGTTGTTCTCTTCTTAATTTATCGTGATCCATGATTTTCATTTGCTGCTGCTGAGATTGAATTATGGAAGTTTGATTTACATTTATATTAAGTAGCTGCTTCAGCTGTTTAATCCAATTGTTTTAAAAAAAAAAAAAATTGGCCGGATTATGCCTTTTCCGGTGTGTTATTCTTTGTCAAAATGTGAAATAAGTGGATCTTCATTGTCGTGAAAGTGGAACTTTTCCTGTGAGGTTGTTGGCCGGGGGTTGTTTGAGAACTTGACTGATCAACCCGTAGGAGAATTAGTAGTATCTAACTTCTAATTTTTAAATTTAGGTTAGGTAATTTACGGTTTAATTTCGCGCAGGGTCGCTACACTTTACCTGGTGCTGGAAATTTGACTTTCCTGTGAGATGTAATTTTTTGAGAAACTAACATATAGTTCAGTTATTTTTAATGATTGAAAAAGTAGTTTTGTGATTTTAATGATACAAATGTGTAAACTTCAGTGACCATGTGTGAAATGAATTCGATAATTAATTGTTGTCTACAAGATGATATATCTTTGACACTGGGTTGCCTGGGGACTTACATATGCTGGCTGTATTCTTTTGTTTACTGATTGGGTAGGGAGCTGGATTTGTGCTTGATAGATATTTTAAATGGAACCTACAGCAGTTGATGAATTTACAACTCCATTAGTCTCTCTCTCTTGTTGGCTTATTTCGTTGTTTTTGGAAGAGAAAAGCATAGAAGTGAGATGTATTTTCTGATAAACTAGCATATAGTTCACTTTTTTTCAATGATTTAAAAAGTAGTTTTCTGACTTTAATGATACAACGAGTAAACTTCAGTGACCATGTGTGAAATGAACTCGATAATTAATTGTTGTCCATGAGATGATATACCTTGGATACTGGATTGCTTGGGGACTTACATATGATCGCTGTATTCTTTTATTTTACTGATTGGGTAGGGAGCTGGATTTGTGCTTGATAGATATTTTAAATGGAATCTGCAGTAGTTGGTGAATTTACAACTCTATTACCATTAGTCTCTCTCTTGTTGGCTTATTTCATTGTTTTTGGAAGAGAAAAGCATAGAAGTGAGATGAAATTTCTAAATTTGTTCCACTTTAGGAAAGCGCATTGCAACATAAACTTAGAGGCATTGCACTCCTCTTCCATCTCATCTTTGTCTCTCTCTTTTTTTCCCCACTTTCGGAGTGGTATCCGTTTGATTATCTTAGTTTATTCATTCCATGCATAATTGCACGTTTCTTGTTTTAATAATCTTATTGAATTACATTCTCCGAGTACTGAGTAGTACATAACTTTTCTGAAGTAAAACAAGTAAACTCGTGCAACAATAATGAGACGTAAAATGTAACTCTTCTTTCTTTCTTTCTTTCTTTTTTCTTTTTCGCTTTTTTCGAAAAGAACTACATTGTTATGTCTGATTATTGTTGCACATCTTTACTTTTTTTTCTTCAGGAAAGTAACGTACTACTCGGAGTAAGCATTGGATACTTGTTGTTGGAATTTTGGTGTGCTGATGCAAATGATTCGTGGGCGTATGAGAATGGCACTTTCTGCTGGTGCAATGTTATATCGTTCCTCACTTTCAGGTCCCGTGCGTCTGATGACGACGGAAGCACAAAGTGTTGCTGCTAAGCTGAAAAGCTCTGGATTATTGCGGAGTCAGGCTCTTATTGGAGGGAAATGGGTTGATTCATATGATGGGAAGACTATAAAGGTATACAACCCTGCAACAGGAGAGGTAATAACAGATGTGGCATGCATGGGTGGGAAGGAGACAAACGATGCAATTTCTTCTGCCTATGATGCATTTAGTTCTTGGAGCAAACTTACTGCTGCTGAAAGGAGCAAATGTTTAAGGAAGTGGTATGATTTGATAATGGCCCACAAAGAAGAACTTGGACAGCTTATGACACTAGAGCAAGGGAAGCCTCTAAAAGAGGCCATTGGTGAAGTTAGTTATGGGGCTGGTTTTATTGAGTTCTCCGCTGAAGAGGCTAAACGTATATATGGTGACATCATTCCATCACCATTAGCAGATAGGCGTTTATTTGTTTTAAAACAACCAGTTGGGGTTGTTGGTGCAATTACACCTTGGAATTTTCCCTTGGCTATGATTACCCGAAAGGTCGGCCCTGCTCTTGCTTGTGGTTGTACAGTGGTGATAAAACCTTCTGAACTCACGCCCTTGACTGCTTTAGCAGCAGCTGAACTCTCCCTTCAAGCTGGAATACCACCGGGTGTGGTGAATGTTGTTATGGGAAATGCATCTGATATTGGAGATGCACTGCTCGCGAGTCCACAAGTAAGAAAACTTACCTTCACAGGTTCGACCATGGTTGGGAAAAAGTTAATGGCAGGTGCTGCTGCCACTGTTAAGAAGGTATCTCTTGAGCTAGGAGGTAATGCACCTTGCATCGTCTTTGATGATGCAGACCTCGAAGTAGCTTTGAAAGGAGCTCTGGCAACAAAGTTCCGAAACACTGGACAAACATGTGTATGTGCCAATAGAATACTTGTGCAAGAAGGGATATATGAAAAATTCGCGAATGCTTTTGCAAAAGCTGTCCAAAGCATGAAAGTTGGAGATGGTTTCAGTGAAGGTGTGGAGCAGGGCCCTCTAATTAATGAAGCAGCAGTAAAGAAGGTTGAATCCTTTGTAGAAGACGCTACTTCAAAGGGGGCCAAAGTCCTCGTTGGGGGGAAGAGACATAGCCTTGGCATGACCTTCTATGAGCCTACAGTCGTAACTGGAGTTAATAGTGAGATGCTCTTGTCGAAGGAGGAAGTATTTGGGCCTGTCGCCCCTCTTTTGAAGTTCAAGACAGAGGAAGAAGCAATCCATATGGCTAATGACACCAATGCAGGTTTAGCTGCTTATATATTCTCGACAAATATTCAAAGAGCTTGGCGTGTCACTGAAGCTCTTGAGTATGGAATCGTTGGAGTAAATGAAGGACTAGTTTCAACTGAGGTAGCTCCATTTGGGGGCGTGAAACAATCAGGTCTTGGCCGTGAAGGTTCTAAATATGGGTTGGATGAATATTTGGAGATGAAATATGTGTGTCTGGGAAGTATGAGCTAAATCGCTAATGTAAATTCTGATTAATAAGGGATGCCATGGCGTCAGTCTTAGTTTGGGTATAATATGCATTTTTAGTTTCTGTATTTCCTACCTAGAAAAGACAGACGAGGCACACGCTCGAAATAAAACAGTTCTGAATTTTACTATTGTTGCCTTGTTCTTTTCATAGCTGGTTGATGTTGCCTTTATTCTTTAAAGGGTGTGAATGGGAAATGGAAGAGGCACCTTTTGGATTGCACCTCTCCATCTCACCCTTCCTTTGTCTATAAATTTAGAGGCTTGACCTCATTTTTGAGAGAAGGAAAAATCTGAAATATTCTCCCCTCTTTTCTACATTGTTGCATTACTCCCTCCGGTCCAAAATAAGTAATTTTTTAGTTGTTTTCACACATATTAAGAAATCCACCTTTTAACATTAATTAGCAATGAAATTGACCATATTAACCTTTACTATCTATTCACATAAACACTCTTAACACATACCCAACACTATTTACTCCAAGGGTAATGTAGGAAAAAAATAATTAATTCATTCTTGAAATTTGAAAAAATCACTTATTTTGGACCATAAAAAAAAGACCAAAAAATCACTTATTTTGGACCGGAGGGAGTATTTTCTAAATAAACATAAGTGTTAAGTGTGGTTTGCTCTGTTTGTTGAGTTCGCTGAAGTTCTGTGATTTTGAAGTGCCGCTATCACAGAATAGTTATTCCGTTCTATCCTGGGAGGAATTAATCCGTATACCTTGGGCAACAGTGAGGGGATTAAATTCCTTAAGGACACATTGTGCATTCAGTGGGCTCGGAATTATTTTACGATTTGTTTATCGAACTAACGTTTGTTTGCTTCTATAATTTTCTGATTTTGAACACAGTAGTACCAACAATCTTAAGGAATTTAATGTTTTTAACATATTTTTTTTGTGTTCGTCTTAACAGGTGTTTGTTGGAGACTAAACAAACACATTCTGTTAGTCGTAAACAATAAGAAATGATTATAGATGGCTGGGTAAAGTTCTTCTCATCCGTTTGCCTTTTACAGAAGAATCATGTTGTGCATTATTCATAGTTTAATCAAAAGAATCATTTTGAAAAGCCACGCTATTAAGTCACAATTGTTGGTACAACACACAACTTACCTCCATGTTTCCTAGGAATATGTCGTATCATTTGTTGCGTTCGTAAGGTCGCAATGTTAGTTGATACACTGATTATTCAAGGATAAATTAAAGAAGGAAAAATTTTGAAACTTATGTGGCCTTGAAGTTTGATCTTATTGGTTGGATACAAAGTGGTTTTGTGTCTGGATTTGAACTCACAAATACAAAGGCATTAGGTTACTGCCATTCTTATGATAGTATTGTTATGGCATATTTTAATGATTGTGTTATTGGAAGGACATAATGGAAAGATAACCAAGGGGTGGCTTACGTGTTACAGGAAAAACATGTTATTTTTCTTCTTTTCAATTTAGAGAAGATGCATAATGCAGACCCGTATATGGGCGACATAGCCGAAAGATGGAAGTTTTTTTTTTTGTGAAAATAACAGTTGGGAAGATTTATTAGATCTTCGTCGGTACATCATTCACCTTGGCAAGGAATTTGCAATTCATGCATTGCTCAAAGAATGGAATGGCACGATTGCAGTAATATCGGGCTCTATCTTCTTTAATTTATTCACTTATATATTTAAATTTCTAATATGTGAAATTTTGTGTCTATAATTTAGGGTAGATATTTATTATGTGATGATCTCATATTATATATTTAGAATATATGCATGAGTAGGAATAACATGTATTTACGGGTAATTTGTTATTCCTTTGACTATATGAAAGAACTATGAGTAGTTGATATAGAATTTGATAACATGCATAAATATATATATGTGGATGGTTATTTTCAAGGTTGTAAGACATGAATTAGGCTTACAGTAATACTTGAAGTATCTTGAGATCATGAATATAATATATGTAAAATGAACATATATGTGTTTGATTAGAGAAAGAGATCAAATTGTTTAAGTATTATAATGGTTTAGTTGAAAAACCATTTGGAAAGGGAATTAAAATTCTCATGATTTTCTACACTCGGTTTAGCAAATAAAATCTTCGTGATTTTTTACTCCTGCTTCGAGATCAAAATCTGCATGATTTTTTACTCATTCGTTGAGATTAAAGTCTTCGTGACTTTCTACTCATTTGTCGGAAATTAAAGTCTAAGTGACTTTATACTCGTTTCGGAGATTAAAATCTTAGTAATTTTCTACTCTAATTTATTATTCGGTTTGAAGATTAAAAACTTCATCGTTTATTAAATTTAATTGTGTCACATATTACTCGGTTTGAAGATTAAAAACTTCACCGTTTATTAGATCTGGTATCAGGTATTACTCGGTTAGAAGATTAAAAACTTCACCGTTTATTAATTCTGATGGTGTCAGATTGGTTTGAAGAATAAAAACTTCACCAGTTTTTCTGGCTCTGTTATGACACAAACAACAGTTCATGTGGTTGGCTCTACAAAGCAATAGAGGCGGCGTTTGAAGAAATATGTTTGGAATATGGCATTATTCACCAAACGACTGCCCCTTCATAAGCGCAATCTAATGGAATTGCGGAAAGAATGAGTAGAACGTTAAAGGAGATGATAAAATGCCTTGTTGTAAGTTCTGGTTTACCCCAGATCTTGTGGGAGAAGCTATTCTTACAGCTAACTGAATACTCAATTGAGTTCCCCATAGCAAAACGGAATCCATTCATATGAAAAATGAATGAAAGGAAGAAAACCCAACTTGAAATATTTTCAAGTGTGGGGGATATTTGGGTAAAGTGCAAGTTCTTAAACCCAAAAGGATAAAAATTGGATCGAAAACTGTTGATTCCGTTTTCATAAGATATGCAACAAATAGTAAGGCATATCGTTGTCTGATTCATAAATCAAAAAATACCGACATTTATATTAATATGGTACTCGAATCAGATAATGCTGAATTCTTTGAGAATATTTATCCGTATAAAAAGGAATGTGAGTCGTCTAGTGAAAATCTAAGCGAACACGGGAAGAAGCAAAGGAAAGTACACTATTGAGGTGAATCCAAGACGTAGTAAACGTCAAAGTAGAACTACTTCCTTTGGGATTTTCTGACATTCTTGTTGAAAAGTGAGCCTCAAACATTTAAAGAAGCAATGTCTTGCTCGAAAGCACAATGTTAGAAAGAGGTAGTCAATAGTGAGATAGAATCCATATTAAGTAATCATACTTGGGAATTGGTTGATCTTCCTCCAGGAAATAAACCTTTGCGTTCTACGTGTATTTTCATAAAGGAAATGAAAGTTGATGGTACTATTGACAAATATAAAGTAAGATTAATTGTCAAATAATTTAGACAACGAGAAGGTCTTGATTATTTTGATACATACTCGCCGGTAACGAGGATGACATCTATTCGGGTGTTAATAGCGTTAGCCGTCGTGTATGACCTTGAAATCCATCAGATGAACTTAAAGAAAACCTTCTTAAATGGAGATTTGGAGGAAGAAATTTACATGGAACAACCTGAAGGGTTCGTGGTTCCTGGAAAAGAAAAGAAGGTGTGTCGACTTGTCAAGTCACTTTACAGATTAAGACAAGCACCCAAACAATGACATGCGAGATTTGACCAAATAATATTGTCAAATGGTTTAAAAAATTAATGAGTGTAAGCAAATGTGTTTACGTTAAGAATACTTCAAATCATAGTCATTATTTGATTATATATGATATGTTGATGAAATATTTAAAATGTGGGGGCTTTTAGCTTATGATGACAAAAGCCAATGTTAGACGTAATGTCTAAATTATATAATTTTTGAACCCCATTGATATAGTAGTTGGTAAATTCATCAGTTGTTTAGTCTTAATGAAGACTAGTTGATGAAACTACTAATTCGGAAGTTGGTCACGTGCCTTTCTCGAAAGGTCATTTTCTTTATTGAAAATTTATATTGTTTAGTTCTTTTATGAAATAATGCCACTTTGAAGGTAGTGACTTTTCATAGAAAGATACGTCTGTACGTTTTAGTATGGACATGACCATTCATGAACGAATGTATTAATACGTTGGTCTATAATGAGGTGAACCAACCGATGGACATGACCAAAATCCATTGCAAGTTGGATTTGTTTCATGAATGGAGGTTATAATTTGTATATCATATAGGCGTATAAATAAATAACATACAAATGCTTGAAAATGACGGAGTGATTGATAAATGTGTTATATATTAAAAGGTTGTGGTCACAACTGATGCCAATTATTCCACCTGTTGTTATAATATACTATTACTACATTAAGTGTAGTCAATAATATGATATGCAATCGCAAGTCGAGACGTATTAGTCTACAACATAAGGAAGTTTGCATTGAACGTTCATGACAATGAAACGAGTTTTGAAGTATTTGAAATATACTCCAAATTATGATTTGCACTACAATAAGTATCCCGCAATAATAGAGGGTATAATGATGAAAATTAGATCACCGGTTCAATCGATTCTAAACAGTCAGTGGATGAGCGATGTCTTGGAAATTGTCCAAACAAATGTGCATTGACCGCTCTATAGTGGAAGCTGAGTTTATAGCCTTAGACAAGGCCGGTGAAGAAGCTGAATGGCTCCAGAATTTCTTGAAAGATATTCTATTTTTGCCCAAACCTTTGGCACCTATATGTATACATTGTGATATTCAAGCGGCAATAGGCAGGGCAATGAGCGTTATGTATAACGGAAAATCTCGTCACATTCGACGGAAACACAATACCGTTAGACAACTACTCTCTAGTGGTGTTATCATGATTGACTACGTAACGTCAAGAGATAACGTATCGGATCCACTTACAAAAGGCCTATCTAGAGAGGTAGTTGAAAGATCATCGAAGGGAATGGGTCTAAGGCCTAGGACAAGTCATCATGGCAGTAACTCTACCTAGCAGACTGGAGATCCCAAGAGCTAGGTTCAAAGAGATCAAACAAAGTTATGAATGACGGTTCAACATTGTCAAATAACTCAACCCATTCTCGTGATGAAGACAATGTTCAGAAATCAAGGTAAAGCATTAAGGCTTTTTGATGAGTCAATAAAGCTTAAAGCTTTTTAATGATTTTCTAAGTCTGGCAGGATATG